ATAATAATTTCATGATAGCTGTGTGATCGACAAATTTTCTACGCCGCAGTAGTATATAAAATTTTTTGCCTCTTCTTTTCTATATTTTTATGACCTACCTTTCACGATGTCCTTTATGCTAAGCTCTTGTGGCTGAAGAGCGGAAGCCATGGCCAGCAATAAAATCAAAATGAATAGACTTCTCAGCATCTTGAACTGGAGTGAGCTTGAAATTTCAAGGTTTTTTTCTTGCGTTTCCAGGTATGGTGGGTATACAACGCTTTCAAAGTTCTCTCGATGTCGACTCGATGAAAGGCGATGGAGAGTATTGGAATAAATTTTATTCCAGGATTTATATTTTTATGCCAGCGAAAAGCGCGGTTCACATCAGAGCAACCAATGAAAGTGCGTAATTACTATTTCAGCCAATCACAAGCATCCGATATCAAGTTTACAGCAACGGTGTTGTACGTTTCTTCCGGGTTTGATAAATTATGAACAGCAATACCGCGCCCGCAAATTAACGGTTAAGTGCGCAATGTAGTTACTGTATATGGTTGCGGGATCAGAAAGTGTCATTGGAAAGTTAGCTTCTTGAATTTTCATATCAGGAAAACGATGAGAAGAAAAGAGTCACTGAAAAAGTCAGGCATGATTACAACCACGCGGCCGCGATTATTTCGACACAGGCTGTTTTATGCAATATTGTAGATAGAGGCGGTTGATACTCGTTTTCAGCGCTCTATACCTAATGCGTCCTGATGCATAAATTACTTCAAGATGAAGTGATGACCCTGTCTTCTTACTCAAATTACAGGTTATATGAGCGCTCAAAATTAGCTTCTTTATAGGTCAAGTGAGGTAAATTCCGTTTCATCTTAAAGTGGTTGCAAATAGCTTTCAAATTAAGTCGGCAGCGATTGATACCAGTTTCGCTGGCACGCAATGAATACTTCGTTTTACAAACTAACTTGTAGTATGTAACTTCCAGAGCAGAAGGATTATTGAAACTATTCACGAGAATCACAGCGTTCAGTTGGCGAGTGCTAAGAATAGGTTTAATGAGAAGTTTGTCCTGTTCTTAAAAAATACTC